TACACGGACGTTTAAAAACACACACCGGGGCATCCAGGTGACCAGGAGTCCAGTTACTCAGCTTTAACCTGTTCTCCCTTGAAGAGCCACCTTCCCTGTCCCAGTGCTACCCCTCACTGGTCACGGCAGACCCCGAAAACATACTCATCGGGGGACACCGTCTGGTGAATGAAAGGGTTTTCCATGTGACTCTTCCAGCACTCACTCACAGCAGCGTCTGAGAGAAACGTCTCTGCCCCAGAACAACGAGGTGCCAGCAGCTCCCCAAAACTGTTCCATTTTTGAGTGGTCCCACGGATCTTTCTTTTAATAAATTCCCTTCATCAAAACTGCCCGAGTTGGTGGTAGCAAAACTTTCCAAGGAGGAGAGTGAAGGTTACTCCTCACCTGAAGAAACACCCATTTCAGTTTCTATCCCCCACAGGGACGAACACCGTCCGAAAGACGGAGAGAACACCCAGCCAATGATGTGTCTAGTGGCACAGTATTTCAACCCTTTGTGGTTTGGGTCCTTCTTCTTCAGTCACCTTTCAACCCTGCAGTGAAAACACCCAAATGGAAAAGGCTTTCCAACCTCTTACACTGAAGAGGGTTTACCCTAGAGATGCAAGGGGAAAGCTCCTCTCTGTGCTGGCTCCGGTAACAAACGCTCCAGCTGCCCCTGCAGCCTCCCTCGCTCCGTTGGGGTAAAGCACGGGAAAGCTGCTGGGAACACTTTGCTTCCTGGCCTCAGTGCAAGGGTACGACGCATGAAGTTTTTAGAGGAAACAACTTCCTGTGTCATTCTTTTCCTGAAGGCTGCACGAACAGGAACACATACTAAAAACTGCATTTTGAGTGAGTAGTTATTTCTTAAAATTCCTACCACTCCTGCCAACAAAACCTCCCTGATGCCCTAGTCATTCCCAGGAGTCAAGTTAAAATAACTGTAACTTCATCACTCTGCAGGTGCCCGAGCGCTGGAAGGGGGTGCCCAGAGAGGCTGGGGAGTCTCATTCCCTGGAGACAGTTCCTGCCCAGCCTGCTCCAGGTAAACCTGCTTTGGCAGGGGCTGGCAAAGGTCCCTTCCAACCCCAGCATCCTGGGATTCCGCTTCCCCTAGCGTCACACCATTCCCAACCTTTCCACATCAAAGATGGGGTACGTTTCCGCACCTCCCCTACCCCATCAGGCCACCCACCACCCAGGCACACTCCGACTGCTGCTTACACACGGCTCCTAGGAACACCACCAGGCCGAGCGCAGGTTACAGCCACTCTCCAGGTCAACACAGCTATACCCACAAAGGTGTCTTTTGGTTAAACTCCGGCTTCAGGAGCACAGGAACATCACCACAGAATTCCTGACGGGAAGCGGCATCCCCTGGCGCTTCAAGGTCCCATTTTGGATGTGGCCGTGTCCAGAGGGTTCGAGGGGGGAGCTCGGAAGCGAAGCGAGCTCACACAAGCTCTCACCACGCTCACAGGTTACTTACTGCCAACGTGCTGTCTCCAACGTTTGATGCGATGAGTCCCTCGATTGTGCCATATTCTGCATCTCTGGAGTTGAGCCTCTCCATATGGTTTTTCTGTATCCTCCGGATGATCAGCACAGCTACTGCAGAAAAAACTATCAACACCACCACAGGAGCCAGTATAACAATGATTAGTGTTTCCATGCTGTAACCTGCAGCTTCTCCTTGAAAGGTTTGCCCTTGGAAAGGGGAGGGGAGGGGTGAAAGAGAGAGAGAGAAAAATAAGTTTGTCAATTCCCAGAGAAAGTCTAAAGCCAGCAGCACTGGCACCATTTAACTTGGTAGCCACCTGGTCTGAAAGGGAGGCCGTGACACAGCCAGAACCGCGAGCGTGCGCTTACACCTATGATGCTGCCTGCGTAGCTCCCTGCAGAGCTGCCAGAACCGTCCCGTCCCTTCGGAGCAAACCCCCCCGGGCCCTGCAATTCACTCGCGGGCAGTAGCTCGATCCCGACCCTGACTGCAGAGTTCAGCCCCTGCCATGCCTCCAGCGACACACATCACCCAGCCTGGGGACACAGGATGTGTGCCAGCCGGCCCCAGGGTGGGGAACAAGGTAGAAGGGGCCCTACTGCCTTGAGTAAACCCTTCCTCCCGCTGGCACCCAGCCGGCCCACTCCCATGGCATCGGACGGGAGCTCAACGTTCACAGAATCAGGAGGGGTGACAGTTCTGAACGCACACTCGTGAAGAGAGAAGGGAAAGTCTGTCCGTCGGCTGGCTCAACTCCTGGCCTTGTTCTCTGCAGAATCCCATGGGAGCCCCATATTCTTCTGGGCCGTGTAGAGCGTAACAGAGTAACGGTGTTTGTGACTATCTGACAACTGGTTCGAGTAAATTTATTTAAAAGTCAGTTTTTTCTTACTGTTCTACTTTGTTCTGAAAGGTACCACTGAGATCAGTCCCTGTGAGGTCAAACTTGTTCTAAAGTGTAGATATTTCCTCCTAAAAGGCACCACAATCCTTTCCTGAGAAGGTGAGGAGTCGCTACCTACATGTAACCCCTACGAGAAACACTGACTCGCTGAAGAGCTCAACATTCAAGCCATCCTCAGCTGAAGGGATCCATGTCCCTGCTTAAAAGACCCCAAGCAGTTCTTGCTATCACTGTTTTGGTTAAAAACGGCCCAACAAAAAAACCTGAACAACCAAATTAAAAAATCACCACCACCACATCCGAGCTTCCCCTTCTCTCCACGCACCCAGGTTTTGGACAGTCAACACCGGATGCCACAGCCCCTTTCACCCTGCGTGCCATCCCTCCTTTAACCCCGCTGCTAGAGCCGGTCAGAGGTGGCTCCGAGCGCCAGCAGCTGCACAGAGTCCCTGCTGGGGTGCCACACGGGATGCAGGGTAAAGCACAGCCCTCTTTGGGATCCAAACACCAGTGCTGATGCTGCACAGCCTCTCTGCTGCTGCCTCGAGCGCGGCCACCCACAAAACTCTGTGCATGTCCTAACGTACTGTAGCTGGGCTTGGCAGCGCAGCCTAAAGAAACCCCAGCTCACAGCACGGGTTCTCCAGGCGTCAACCTCTCACCTTTAGAGGAGGGCAGCTGCGCAGTGATGTTCATGTTGCACAGGTACCCCTGGCAGCACTCGACGGCCTGGTCAGGGGACGGAGGCGTTTTGCACGTCATCTTCCCTTGTTCGTAGACTTGGAAGCAGCCTTTCTGGTAAACCTTAGCACCGTCATTAATGCTCAGGGAAGCGAAACACTGCTGGCCTTGGCAACGATCCCCATTCCCACAGGACATGCCTTCGCACACGCATTCGTAGTGGACCATGTTTCGCTTCTGTTCATCATCTGTGAAAGGGGAGAGGTGAGGAAAAACACCATTCTTAATGGCCTCAGTGTGCACAGAGATCATGAAATCCTTAGGGAATCAAGCCTGCGGTTTAGGGAACAGCTACTACCTGCAGCTGGCGCCGAAGAACCACCAAGCAGGAGCTAAGACGCTAATTCAGCAAGGTAAAGCCATGAGTCTGCACCCAAGAACACCAGTCGCACTGACACTTCACGCACCCTCCCGCACCCACCGGGAGGGTCAGCTACAGGGGGGCACTCAGCAGAGGGAGCCAAACCCAAAGAGGTTCAGTTTAAACCAGAACTGCTAAACCCCACAGCATTTCTACACGGGAACAGCTGCTCGACAGCGTGCCAGCAGCGGCCGACTACATCAAACGAAACCCGCAGCGGGCACAGCGACGCGGGACGCAGCGGGCTTAGCCAGCTCGCTTGAACAGTACATCTGGACCAACTTTCCCAGGAAAACAAGCTTCTGAGGAGTGTCCTGGGAGGCTGAGACACCCCGTCGACAGGCAAAGGGAGCAGCAGCACGCACTGCCCGCAGTTACAACCCCTCCCTTCCAACTCCAGGCGCTTTGGCTTGGTACAAGGAAGGACTTCCCAGAGAATGATGGAGCAGGAACCTAAACTCCTGAGTGTCCCCAGCGAAGTGTCCGGAGGTCCCTAGCCAGGAAAAGCCGCTCACAGCCACGGCCCATGCCTTAACACGTGGCACCGGGTTCCCAGGCCTGGTAGGGGGACACCGCTCCCGACTGCTGGTGGGGAACGCTGGAAAATCCAGGTGCCCGGGGCGGCGAAGAGCCACGCGCACTCCCGGATGGCCAAGGAAAGAGGCAGAGCTGTGAAGGACAGAACAAGCGGCCGTGCTGCGACACAGATGGGCAACAACTCGTACTGACATTCTCTTCCTCGGCTCTAACACACATGAAAATATTTCCAGCCACAAATACAGCGGGTGCTCCCAAAATAGCAGCTGA